AAACATCCATTCCTATATGCAACTTATATGTATGTACATGTTGCAAGTATTAAGACAATGTTCAAATAAATCATTGACAGTAAAAGAAGAACTTGGTAACAAAAAAAAAGAACATTTTGCAGCTCTTATACCTTTAGGTTCGAATAGAAAAAGTTTGCAGTTTTAATAACAAATGGCATTCATTGGATAGTTAGTTGTTTGTAGGTACTAGAAGTTTTGCAAACTTTATTTTACTTCCATTCCCTCTTCTGTTCTAAAACCGAACAGATACTAAGATTTTCGTTTTCAAATAAGGATAGATACAATCGTCAGAGTTTGGTTTTTTATTGTGTCTTTTTTAACATTTCCAATTCAATACATATCAAATCATATATGGATTTTTCTATATATGTATGTATGTTTATAAGAAAATAAAACTGTCCAGTAGTTGGAGATGACTAGCTCCCACTTCACTTCGATTATTGTATAAAATAACTATGTCCTGAAATTCAATAGAGACAATAGAGTTCCAAGTAGCTTCCTGCTAGATTACCTAAGGTATACAAAGTATACAAGTATAATATAACAATTTTCTAGGGTAAGCACTATCTAAAAAGGAATAGATTTGTACTTTTGATTTATCAACTGATACTTTACAATGCACGAAAGTACGTAACTAATGGTTTACAAGTAGTTAACTAAAGCTACTGTCCAATAGGAGTACATTGACTAGTAGCAAAACTGTTGGGAGTATGAGTTGAAAAAGTAAAATCAAAGCAAATTAAAACAAAATAAGTATAGTATAAGAATCTGAAGCAAAAATAATAGTTATATATAATGACATTAATTCTTTTACAATTATTCTCCCTTCCATATAATAATTGCAAAAGTGTTTACGTTTTTTAAAAGAGAAAACGTAAACACTGAGAGAAATTTTCAGTTTTAAGCAGTTCATTAGTATATTTTTCACCATCTCGCCAATGTGATGGAAATCTGCGCAATATACTGATAATAGATTTAGAAAACATAATCATAAATTTACATTTATAGGAGTGAAAAGCAAAGATATCTTCAAAGCTAAGATACAATACAATAATAAAACTCTAGAGCAATTATCGGCCGAAAGAGGCAAATGTACTCTATGTACATAGAGAGAAAAAAGACATTCTAAAATTATACACGCCTGGTACCAAACTGACAACAAAGTGTTTATAATTTTTCAATAACATCCTTATGTTATAGTTGTCAAATCAACAACAAAAATTAAATAATACACGACGTTTTCAAATCAAATGACAACGCTAATCAAAATGACAACAATGCGTTGTTGCAATGACGGTGGTTGTCAAAATGATAACTATTGTTATTTAAAACTTACACACAACTTACACATCCGTTGTCTAAATGTTAACAAACGTGTTAAGTTCACTTCTGACAACGGATTGTATCAATTTCGGTACTATTCTATAGGGTTTCCCTCTGTATGTAGCATTTCTTGATTTTATACATGTTTGGGCAAAAAAAGCTCTTTGCGTAGTTCTGTGTAGTTCCGAAAACACTTCTTTTCTCTGTTGGAATCTGATTTTGAGGTACATAAGAGAGTCCCGAGGAACTGCCTTACTAAGAATCTTAAGAAATGTTTTTTTGAAAGGTGGCTCAGCTCCCCACCTGTGATTGAAAATTTTCATCCCTGTACAATATGTTAAAAAAGTTTCTTCTATATTTTCGAAATGGATCTCAAAAATTCCATAATTTTGAGCTGATTACGGGAAAAATAACTGTAAAATAGCTTTGGAGTATTTTCCAAAAACTGATTTTTGATGGATTTTCTATTGCTGGTAAGGACTGAGGCCCTTTGAAAATATTTTTTATTTATCTCGTATTGAGTACATTAATGCATCGTTTGAGAGTTATTTTTACAAAAAAGTGGTCCACGGAACACTTTAAGGTACATGTTTGTAATTGAGCTTATGTTTTAAAAAATAATTTTTCTCAGTGTACTTCTTTTGGTCATTATCTATTTCCAATTGCAATAAATATTTCATGTTATATAGTAAGTATTTTTTTATAGTTTTTCCTATTGCATGTTGATTCTATAACTTTGTATTGACGACACAATTAACCAACATTAATCTGATTGAATTCTATATGTAATTTAGCGACGAACAACATGTACATCTGGGATTTGTGGTCGTTTTAAGAAAAGGGGAATAATAATCTAACAAGTTCTTAATCAGTAGAATAAGTTAATCATTCTAAAACCAATTTAAATGCGGAACAGAAGTATGCTTCCAAATATACTCAGGATTTACGAAAATCTCGGTACAATATAAAAGGCTTCTGAATGTTGCCGAAACAGACATTTATGTTGACAACTTTAGCAAAGAAAGTAGATTTTTGTGCTCAAGAAGGTTTTACAGATCTAAGAAAATTTGCCCTATAATCTTTTAGAAATAATCTCACAATCTATTTTATAAAAAAATGTCTGAAACTTATAAAGTATCGTTAGAAATGAAGGATATGTATATACCGGTACACAGTGGTATAGGAAAAAAAAAAGAGGGAAATAATTCGGTAACTTCTAAACGGTTAATCCGATTTTAATGAAATTTGGTATGCACAAAGAGGAGGTGTTGTCGAGTTTAGGTTTTGAATTTGGACCTTATAGGCCAACCAGGGGTCCGGCGGGGGGTCCTCAAATTAGGACACCTCGGCTATGTTAAATTTTTAAAACGATCCTATTTCTTCATTTGAGTTCCGATTTAAAAGAAATTTCGTATATAGAATCTCCTCATCGAGCACTATAAAAAATGTCGTCGTAGCAGTAAATTATCTCTTATAGTTTAGGAGATATTCGCATTTGAATATTAAAATTTTAAAATTTTTACCGTCCTTACTTTAGTTTTTTTGATAATAGCAGGTCGAAATATTTCCGATTTTCGCCATTTTTTTTATTTGCTTAACAACAAGTTTATATACCAAGCAGTGAAAGAATTATGTAAAAATCATGACTGAGTCCAAAGTTATAGGCATTTAAATTTAAAAAATTAAAAAAAGGCGATTTTTTGTCATTTTTTTGGGAAAAAAGTATCTTTTTCTTTTTAAGTTATCTAAAAAGTTTCTAAGATTTTTGGGATTTTTTAAAACTTTTTTGGGAATTCCGGGATTTCTAATAAGAAAATTCGAAATTTTTATTTAATTTTGGATTTTGAGTAAAAAAATCTACCTAACTGTAAAATTTCATCAAAAAATATTCATAAATAAAATTTTTATTGCAATTTGAAAAATTTGTATCTTCGCAAAAACTGAATAAAAAACATTTTTTAATTTTTTTTAAAAAAAGTATTCCGCGAATTTTTTAATTTTCAAAAAGTATATACAGTTTTGAAAAATAGACAAAATTACCTTTCCATTGATATATAACATGCCTACCTAATGTTTTTTAAGTGACAAATTAATTAGGGAAAACTCAACATCTTTTAGAAAATTTACCTAGCACTATTATTTTCATCCATATACATATGTAACAAATTTAAGAGTTAACCTTATGGATGAAAATAATAGTGCTAGGCAAATTTTCTAAAAGATGTTGAGTTTTCCCTAATTAATTTGTCACTTAAAAAACATTAGGTAGGCATGTTATATATCAATGGAAAGGTAATTTTGTCTATTTTTCAAAACTGTATATAATTTTTGAAAATTAAAAAATTCGCGGAATACTTTTTTTAAAAAAAATTAAAAAATGTTTTTTATTCAGTTTTTGCGAAGATACAAATTTTTCTAATTGCAATAAAAATTTTATTTATGAATATTTTTTGATGAAATTTTACAGTTAGGTAGATTTTTTTACTTAAAATCCAAAATTAAATCAAAATTTCGAATTTTCTTATTAGAAATCCCGGAATTCCCAAAAAAGTTTTAAAAAATCCCAAAAATGGGATTTTTTAGTTTTTTGCCTATTATATCCATACCAGGGGCGGGGTTATCGAAACCCGTTACAAAATGATTAAGAACATATTGGGTCATATAAAACAGGTCACTATAATTTGATATCGACTATGCGATTTGAGAATTTTGCTCAAAATTTAATTTTCCATAAAAAATAGGGTTTTTTTGGATGGACCTGGTCCCCTCGGTATCAAAAATTTTTAGGTTTTGTTTCATTTATCGTACTTTATGTAAAGTCAGCTTTCCAAAAAGTATAAATTCTATATACATCTTCTTAGAAACTTTTTAGATAACTTAAAAAGAAAAAGATACTTTTTTCCCAAAAAAATGACAAAAAATCGCCTTTTTTTAATTTTTTAAATTAAATGCCTATAACTTTGGACTCAGTCATGATTTTTACATAATTCTTTCACTGCTTGATATATAAACTTGTTGTTAAGCGAATAAAACAAAATGGCGAAAATCGGGAATATTTGGACCTGCTATTATCAAAAAAAAACTAAAGTAAGGACGGTAAAAATTTTAAAATTTTAATTTTCAAATGCGAATATCTCCTAAACTATAAGAGATAATTTTTTTTAAATCGGAACTCAAATGAAGAAATAGGATCGTTTTAAAAATTTAACATAGCCGAGGTGTCCTAATTTGATGACCCCCCGCCGGGCCCCTGGTTGGCCTATAAGGTCCAAATTCAAAACCTAAACTCGACAACACCTCCTCTTTGTGCACACCAAATTTCATTAAAATCGGATTAACCGTTTAGAAGTTACCGAATTATTTCCCTCTTTTTTTTTTCCTATACCACTGTGCGGTACTGAATCTCAGTAAAAAATTATTGTAAAAAATTCCAAATCTGATTTCCTTTTTCTGTTTCTATTTATATTTGTTTGTTAAAGCTTACAAGAAAAAAATAACATTTCATTACATAATAAAACCTAAAGGATTTAGAAAAAAATCCAATTAAAATTTAATTTCCAATATTCAGCCATAACAAGGAAAAAATCCTCCAATAATAAAAATGTTAATAAAATTAAATGGAAACAGAAAAAAAAACTAAATGTATAAACACTTACCTGAACATTGAAATCGAAGAAATATTCTGGTTGCAATGGACATGGTAGACCACATTTACAGGTACCCGGTGACAATAAGTAATCCTTTATTTGAAATGGTGAACGCAAAGTAGAACCAGTTGGACTGAAATAGAAAAAGAAGAAAAAAAACACAAACACATGAAGAAAATATGACTATAACAGAAAGGGTCAAGATAAAATTCAATAACAATTATGGTAAAAAAAATAAAAACAGCTCATGTTTTGCTACTACATGTTATGTCTAACCAGGAAGGGGTAAAACAGGAAAAAACTTGAAAACAAAATTGAAATTAATTAATTTGTTTTTCCTTGTTTTATCATACTTCCTATGCGTAGTTTTCAATTGTACATACATAGATTGAAAATCAACGATAAAGTCAGTAAACACAAATATAAACTTTCATACCACACTAACAATGTCCACCCTCTTAAACACTTTTTCCATATTTTCAACTTTAAACTTCTGCTTAAAGAGTTTAAGGCGTGTTAGCCATGTTATTTAAATTCTATTGTTTTACAGAAACATGTTTTTTAAAAAAATTTACACGTAAAAATACATAGAATAACAACATTCATTGTTTTTATCCTGTTCATTTAAAACATTTCATTTTAATACAATTTAAATTAATTACTTGTATGAAGGTTAATTAAGTCAAGTAAAGACGACTAAGACACCATGACGTCAGACCAAAAAAACCAACAAACTTCTTTTGCAAAACATGTTAAAAACAACAAGGGGCCTTCAGTAAAGGAGACAAACGACGAGGTGGTTGGTGCTGTTGATGATGGCAGTATTGTTTACTTAAGCCAATGACGATTATAAGGATTTCCATTTGAAGCAGGTGTATTTAATGTTTAACACAACAACAACAACAACCAACATTCAGATACATTTCATGTTTCTTGTAGGCGTTAATAATGTTATTTATTTAATCAATTTGCTTAAGGAGGTGCAGCAGCTTTTAAGTTGTTTATAACTGTTGAAGAATTTCATTGAGGCAAAAAGAATTCAAAATTTACATTTCTTTTTATGCTTAACGAAATTTTCAGAAACTGCGAAAATTAATTTAATAAATGGTTGTTCATTTATGTAGGTTCTTGAAGATATATGTATGTAACCTAGCTTGGATGGTTAAATGCGAATTTTGCGAGCTTTCAATTATTGTAAGGAAAATTCATGTGTTTAAGATAAATATCAATATCTAGCGTCTAGAAACACCAGAAATAGATAGATAGATAGATAGATAGATAGATAGATAGATAGATAGATAGATAGATAGATAGATAGATAGATAGATAGATAGATAGATAGATAGATGGATAGTTAGAAAGATAGATAGATAGATAGATAGATAGATAGATAGATAGATAGGTAGATAGATAGATAGATAGATAGATAGATAGTAGTTAGTTAGTTAGTAGTTAGTTAGTTAGTTAGTTAGTTAGTTAGTTAGTTAGTTAGTTAGTTAGTTAGGTTAGTTAGTTAGTTAGTTAGTTAGTTAGTTAGCTTAGTTAGGTTAGTTAGTTAGTTAGTTAGTTAGTTAGTTAGTTAGTTAGTTAGTTAGTAGTAGTTAGTTAGTTAGTTAGTTAGTTAGTTATAGTTAGGCTTAGTTAGTTAGTTAGTTAGGTTAGTTAGTTAGTTAGTTAGTTAGTTAGTAGTTAGTTAGTTAGTTAGTTAGTAGTTAGTTCGTTAGTTAGTTAGTTAGTTAGTTAGTTAGTTAGTTAGTTAGTTAGTTAGTTAGTTAGTTAGTTAGTATTAGTTAGTTAGTTAGTTAGTAGTTAGTTAGTTAGTTAGTTAGTTAGTTAGTTAGTTAGTTAGTTAGTTAGTTAGTAGTTAGTTAGTAGTTAGTTAGTTAGTTAGTTAGTTAGTTAGTTAGTTAGTTAGTTAGTTAGTTAGTAGTTTTAGTTAGTTAGTAGTTAGTTAGTTAGTTAGTAGTTAGTTAGTAGTTAGTTAGTTAGTTAGTAGTTAGTTAGTTAGTTAGTTAGTTAGTAGTTAGTTAGTTAGTTAGTTAGTAGTTAGTTAGTTAGTTAGTTAGTTAGTTAGTTAGTTTAGTTAGTTAGTTAGTTAGTTAGTTAGTTAGTAGTGTTAGTTAGTTAGTAGTTAGTTAGTAGTTAGTTAGTTAGTTAGTTAGTAGTTAGTTAGTTAGTTGTTAGTTAGTAGTAGTTAGTTAGTTAGTTAGTTAGTTAGTTAGTTAGTTAGTTAGTTAGTTAGTAGTTAGTTAGTAGTTAGTTAGTTAGTTAGTTAGTTAGTTAGTAGTTAGTTAGTTAGTTAAGTTAGTTAGTTAGTTAGTTAGTAGTTAGTTAGTTAGTTAGTTAGTTAGTTAGTGTTAGTAGTTAGTTAGTTAGTTAGTTAGTTAGTAGTAGTTAGTTAGTTAGTTTAGTTAGTTAGTTAGTTAGTTAGTTAGTTAGTTAGTTAGTTAGTTAGTTAGTAGTTAGTAGTAGTTAGTTAGTTAGTTAGTTAGTTAGTTAGTTAGTTAGTTAGTAGTTAGTTAGTTAGTAGTTAGTTAGTTAGTTAGTTAGTTAGTTAGTAGTTAGTTAGTTAGTTAGTTAGTTAGTTAGTTAGTTAGTTAGTTAGTAGTTAGTTAGTTAGTAGTTAGTTAGTTAGTTAGTAGTTAGTTAGTTAGTAGTTAGGTAGTTAGTAGTTAGTTAGTTAGTAGTTAGTAGTTAGTTAGTTAGTTAGTTAGTTAGTTAGTTAGTTAGTTAGTTAGTTAGTTAGTTAGTTAGTTAGTTAGTTAGTTAGTTAGTTAGTAGTTAGTTAGTAGTTAGTTAGTTAGTTAGTTAGTTAGTTAGTTAGTAGTAGTTAGTTAGTTAGTTAGTTGTAGTTAGTTAGTTAGTTAGTTAGTTAGTTAGTAGTTAGTAGTTAGTTTAGGTTAGTTAGTTAGTTAAGTTTAGTTAGTTAGTTAGTAGTAGTTAGTAGTTAGTTAGTTAGTTAGTAGGTTAGTTAGTTAGTTAGTAGTTAGTTAGTTAGTTAGTTAGTTAGTTAGTTAGTTAGTTGTAGTTAGTTAGTGTTAGTTAGTTAGTTAGTTAGTAGTAGTTAGTTAGTAGTTAGTTAGTTAGTTAGTTAGTTAGTTAGTTAGTTAGTTAGTTAGTAGTTAGGTTAGTTAGTTAGTTAGTTAGTTAGTTAGTTAGTTAGTTAGTTAGTAGTTAGTAGTTAGTTAGTTAGTAGTTAGTTGTAGTTAGTAGTTAGTTAGTTAGTTAGTAGTAGTTAGTTAGTTAGTTAGTTAGTTAGTTAGTTAGTTAGTTAGTTAGTTAGTTAGTAGTTAGTTAGTTAGTTAGTTAGTAGTTAGTTAGTTAGTTAGTTAGTTAGTTAGTAGTTAGTTAGTAGTTAGTTAGTTAGTTAGTAGTTAGTTAGTTAGTTAAGTTAGTTAGTTAGTTAGTTAGTTAGTTAGTAGTTAGTAGTTAGTTAGTTGTTAGTTAGTTGTAGTTAGTTAGTTAGTTAGTGTTAGTTAGTTAGTTAGTTAGTTAGTTCGTTAGTTAGTTAGTTAGTTAGTGTAGTTCGTAGTTAGTTTAGTTAGTAGTTAGTTAGTTAGTTAGTTAGTTAGTTAGTTAGTTAGGTAGTAGTTTAGTTAGTAGTTAGTTAGTTAGTTTAGTTAGTTAGTTAGTAGTTAGTTAGTTAGTTAGTTATTAGTTAGTTAGTATTTAGTTAGTTAGTTAGTTAGTTAGTTATTAGTTAGTTAGTTAGTTAGTTAGTAGTTAGTAGTTAGTTAGTTCAATCTAAAACCAGTTAGTTAGTTCAATCTAAAACCAACATAAATAAACCAATAATTTTAAGATTGAAAGATAACAGTGCCAAAGGGGCACTCTCAACATAAAGTAAAGTATCTAAACTTACAAAGATGAGGAAGGTTGGTTACATCACAAATAAATAATAATAAACCACAAAATAAGTTAATTAAATTAGATTTCAATTTCATAAGACAAATTCAAACAATTATTCGAAATATTAAGATTAAAAAGTTTTAAAATTGTCAATTTAAAGAAGTTTATCAAAATTGTAAAATGATACTACCAGCGAAAACAATGATTTTAAATGTCAATAAGTCAGTACCTAGTGGGAATTCTGTAATATAGAAGCTTTTTAGCGCTACTTTTTGTAACCATGCAAAAAGTTTACTTTTGCATTAATGTATTTGTTTGCTTAATTCTGAATTACATTAGTATTAAAATTTATTTATTTTCACACTTTCATTGTTATTGTTGACAGCCTTATCGTAGGGTGTAAGATTACAAAAAACCAAATTGCACAAGATATTAATAGTGTAAAAAGAAATTTAAATTTAGTAGTAAATTGTACACAATTTAATGTATTGTTTTCTCTGGTCTTATCTTAATGCCTGTTTCAATAAAATACTTAAATGAAAAAAAAAAAAACAAAGAAAAATAAATGCAAATTAAGAAACTAAAGTGGAGCGGAGTGAAGAAAAACTGTCTGTCTGTTCGTTTGTCATTTGTTTATTTTATTTACTTTTACTTTAATGGAAACTCAAGTGAGTCATTGATTTGAAAACGATAATTATTTAAATAAATGACTACGAGCAATGACAACAAGTTATTGAAATATTTAACAAAAAAACAATAGTATTATTTTATTATAGTATGAAGGGAAGAAAGCAGAACTATACTTCTAGATCCACATTTGAAACGATAGTAAAGTAACGCAAAATTACTTTTGGGATGCAAGTTGTATTTCCAACATTTTAATATTTATATTTTAGATTGTTTTATTTTTATGGAGAGAGAAGTTATTGAAAACTATCAGAGATATCTTAATATCTTAATAAGAATTAAAAAACAAAAAAAAAATATTTTTAATTTTCATGATATCATAATCGAAATAACTAGAGTCTGCAACAAAGTCTTATTGCATGTTTATAAATCTACAAAATTAGAAAAGACAAAATCCAACAACAACAAATAGTCAAATTTAAACTTCTGACATGAGGCCCTTAAGGTGTAAATGTCAACAACACTTACATACATACATACATAGATGTAAAAATAAAAAGATTCAGACATCAATCTTGTCATAACATATTTACCAGTAACTATGAGAATGGGGTAAAAAGTTTCTTAAGGGCATATTATGAAAAGTGCTCTTTTTAT